AACCGACCTCTATCCTCCTTCCTTGCTTTCATCTCTCACTCGTGTAGACTTAGATGGTGAGGGGAGAATAGACTTAGAATTATGCCCCGTCCAACAATCCAAGCACATTCAAGCATCACAGAGAGGGAACACATAAAAAAATCAGGGAAGTCTCACATGCGGGCCGGTCATCTCCTCACCGGCCTATCCCAATATGGTCTCTCCACTGGTACTATCGGTAGAGTTTTATCCCATACCTCAAGCGCAGCTCAATCGTCGGGAGCGCGGTACCCAGGCTCCGGCACAGGGTGTTACCCATCTCCATTCGCCTAAAATACCCCATCCCGTTTTGCCGCTCTTGCATACCCTCGTTGGTACCGGGAATTACCCCTGTGCACCCCGTTAGGAGCGATAGTCAGCCGTCTGGGCATTCACTTCCATCGGTCGGACAAGAATCAACCTTTCCCAAGTCGTGCTACGAGAAGCTACTAATCGTCTCCGAGGTTCCTTCCTTGCCTCGCATGCAGTGGTACTCCCCCCGCCAGCCAATAGGCTAAGCCCCGCCTGAGGAGACGTTTCGCACCCCGCCCGGGCAAGATCACCGAGCCATGCTCGTGACCGCCCGGACGAGAATGCTACTAATCAACCGACGTGACAAACTCCCTTCCGACAGCTCGGTGGCCTGACCTCCTCACACGGACACCCAACAACCTCAAAGAGAGCGACGATTCGCAACCCGCACCGGCCGGTGCAGACCCATCCTTTCCTTCCGAAAGGCAGGACGCTCAAACCCCATCATGCAAACACAAGTCCCAAGCGGGGCACATAAAGTACAAGTGCCTTTCCCTTGGTGCACCCAACGCTTCCCACCCATAGCTCACAATTTTCTCTCAGGACAACGAGTGTCACTCCCCCTATTTTCATACACAGTGGTTGGTTCCTTCTCGTGAGAATCTTCAAAGGTGAGCTAGTTTTCCTTGGAGTCTATCAACTCCCTTCGTTCCCTTTCTCTTCACTTGTCTGTCCTTTCATAGGGCGGGGTTGTTCCTTCTTGATGACCCGTTGTGTTCATGTTGGTTCCTTCAAGCATTTCAAAGTGCAAAGAGCATGAGCCCACTGGGCTCAAAGAAGAAGATAGAAGGGCACCCATTCGGTCGGATCACTTCGCCGCGGGATTTTTATCAGATCCCGACCGAAGCCGAAGGACCAACCACCTGTCGGGTAACCGGAGCCCTTCTTTCATACGAAGAGGAAAGGTCGACCTGAGACTTGCCCAAGGCTTCCCTGGACTGGCGAACACCAACACCAGACGAAGGAGGGCTAGAACCATCCCACAAGGAGATGGCTGATCAAGTGCATAGCATGCATGTTGTACCTCCAGGCCTGGCCTGGCCATGCGCCCAACCACTCTCAAATTTGTTTCTCACAAGGGAAAGAGCAAGCACAAGTCCATTTTCCTTATCTCTGGTTGTGTACACGTCAATGCGTCGGGCGCCCCCTTCGGAATCGCAAGGGTCAGTTTAACCCCATGCCCGTCACCTCCACCATTTTTGTAAGGCCAAACCCCGGTAGGCTTTCGAGCCTTAGTCGACCCCCCTGCGGGTACCTGTTGGCTCGGCCCGCCCACGCTCATGCTCAGGGCGCGGGCCATTCGTCCCAGGGTCACCCCCACCTAGTGCTTTGAGATGGATGGGGGTGGGCCATCGCGCGAGAGAGCTTTGACATTGGGGATGTAGCTCAACCCTCATGTCGGGTGGTAGTCTCGCTGGTCTTTCAACAACGCTGATTTTTTTTTATTCTTGGTTGCGTTTTCAAGCAATTGCTCCTTCCAATACGCATGCAGTCCAGGGGTTCTTTGAGAGTTTTCTTCTCTTGTGCGCAGGCTAAGCGTCATCCTTAGGCCGCGCACCATTTCCCTAGGCATTGGATTTCTACGCCGTCATCGGGGCGCGGCGATGCCGTCCTCCCCCTCGCCTCTACGCACCCTTCGAGTCTCATGCATCTCATCCATCTTTCTTGACGCAGACCCCTTAGTCTTTTCGGGGCCTTTACATGCATGCACGCACAACTTCACATTTCCCTTGGCAAGATTGCATCTCATTCTCTCATTTACACTCCAAGTCTCAAACGCAAAGGTCATTCCCATGGGTTGGTTTTATGCTAAGGGCCCCGTAGCCCCTTTGCCCCTCTTCCCTTTTTCTTTTGCCGCCCGGTTCCTCTCGGCCCTATCCCGCTCAAGGCATCCCTGGCCTTCACTTACCTGCACAGTCCCACACAAAGCAAAGATTCATACGATCCCCCGTTGGGGGTCAACACATAGCCCTTCCCACGTGCCTATTCTTTCCATGTTCTTTGGCTGCTCTTTGTTCCCTCTCTTTTGCTCAATCAGCCCATCCTCTTCTCATAGTCATGCAGTCGGGGAAATGGTTGAGTCAAACTGACCTTGCTTCAATTTATACTTTCTTCCCGATTCCGCCTTTTCCCAAAACGTCCTTTCCTTTGCCTTCTTGGTGGCACAAGGGACCGGCTACCCTTCCCTTGCCCTCTTTCTCCACCAAGTGAGGTCTGATTTCTTTTACCGTTCGCACCCTGGCAATGTAACAAGTGAGGGGAGAAGGGTTAGTCATATGCCAAGTGAGGGGAAGGGAGAGAGGGGCAAGGCGTAACCAGTAACCAGCATAAGCTCTCAGGTAAGTATATCTTCCCCACTGCTCTCCTCTCTTATGTATCTCTCCTCTTTGCTGGTCTTCTCCCTAGCTATGTCCTCGCTGTGTCTTCTCTCCCTACTTGTGAGCACACTCACTAACTTCTACTCAAAGATCTACTCTGAATACACCCACTGTAATGTCTGCTAACCCTCTATAGTCTACTACTAACACTCTGCACTGGCGCAGCTATGGCTGCCTTCTCCCTGGCAGCACTATCTCTTCCTCTCTCTCCCTCTCTCTTAGCGCAGTACTCTGGCTTCAGCGCTCTGCCCCTCACAATAGCGCACAAGTGCACCAGCACTTCAACACTTCATGCGAATGAGCAATCTGCCCGAATGGGAGGCTGGCCAGTCCTTTTGTAGTTTTGGATTGCACTTCAACTCGTGCCAGCCTCTGCTTCTTGGGACCTGACTGGGTTCCGGTACCACATTCCCATGGCCTGTCTGCTTCCAAATGTCAAGGTCCGGAACCTTCCCGAATTTCCATTGGTCTGCTGCTGCTTGGGCCTTTGACTCATGACTTTTCGATTTTGGCATATGGATTTGACTGACTGTGACTCCTGCCTCTGGGACATGACTCTTGCCTGTGAAACTGCCCTTTTACTTGTGGGCTGTGACTCTTCAATATGACTTTCCATTATGAAACGTGATTCTTGCCCCTAAGATGTGACCGTTTGCTGGGTGCCTGTTGGACTGGACTGCTGAGGTACCCGACTGTGATTTTTCTGAATTTGACTAATTCGGCCTTTCTTGGCCACGGCCTTTGACCCTGTGACCCAAATTTGGGGCCTCAATCGTGGAAGGCCTTTCAGGAATCGAAATTACGTATGTTCAATGGGAGAAGTAAGTGTATCCCACAGTCGGCATGCTGCTGGGACATAGCATTAGAGGAGTAGCGCTAGGGTAGAGTAGTAGAGACAGGAGTGCAGCGAAGCAGAGGCCAGATAGGTGCTGAGGTAGAGGGAGGACTCACCTGATGAGCACCACAGCTGGAGGGCTTACCTGCGGACGACATAGCCACAAAGGGCCCTACCTGCAGCACCACAGCTGAAATGACATCCTTCGCTGGTCAGTATCTGTTTGCCTTAGAGAAAGAGAGAGAGGAGGGATTCTTTTTCTTTTTCGTTTTCCTTCTGCTCCGTGCTCCATATCCACCTCCCTTTTGCCTCAGCAAGAGAAAGAGAGATGGGCATGGGATTTGGTGAGTATTTTGGGCTGCGCCCACACTCGAACTTGACACTCGGACTGAGACTAGTTGGGGGTTTCAAGAGGGGCTATTATTGTTCAGTGGTGCATTGACCGGCGACTTGGTGACTACTTTGGGCTGCGCCCAGACTCCGACTTGACATTCGGACTGAGACTAGTTGGGGGTCTCAAGAGGGGCTATTGAGTGGTGCATCGACTGGCAATATTCTCTGCTCTTCTCCCTCCCTTCATCTCATTCCTCCATCTTTCTGCGTGTGGAATTATCTCACATTAGTGTGGGCAAGGCAGCAGCCCTATTCTTCTATGTATCATGTCACCTTTCCGTTCTGTGTGATGTGTGTGTGTGTGTGTGTGTGTGTGTGTGTGTGTGTGTGTGTGTGTGTGTGTGTGTGTGTTTGTGTGTGTGTGTGTGTCATGTCCTGAGTCCGATGAATCAGATCTGTGTATTTTCAGTCTTCCACTGCATTACGTTGTTGTTTTTCTCACATTTGGGGATTCCTTGGTTCTCTGAGACACGCATGCGACACATCTGCTCCTCCCCTCCATGAGACTCTCTGCTTCTGGCTTGATCCATCTGGATGGCTCTCTCTGGCCATAGCACTTTCTTGTATCATGTTGTTTCTCTGCAAAAAACCCACCCTCGCCCTCCATGAGATTGTCTGCCACTGGTGTATGTCACTTGTTTTCATAGTCTCTCTGGCTCTATCGCTTTCTTGCATCACCTCGTTTCTCTGCATACACCTCACCCTGCAGATTCCCTGCTTGAGTTCATGCTTGCTTTCCTGCCGCTGGCTCTATCGCTTTCTTGCATCACCCCACAGACTCTATCACTTTCTTGCATCACCCTGCTGGCTCTATTGCTTTCTTGCATCACCCCGCTGGCTCTATTGCTTTCTTGTATCACCCCGCTGGCTCTATCGCTTTCTTGCATCACCTTGTTTCTCTGAATACACTCACCCTGCAGATTCCCTGGTTGAGTTCGTATTTGTTTTCCTGTTTCAGACTTGACAATCCTTTTTGACTACGTGGTGAAGTCCCATCTCTTTGGCTGACCCGGGTTTGCATTTTCCTTTCATCTTTGTGCGCATGTCTGCTGTTGATGATGCAGATAAGGCTATGGTGATAGCCAATGCTCACCCCAATCAGATTGAAGACTATTACTCCTTAAGAGTTTCTCTGTCTTCTACACGTTCTCTACCTTTTCCACCATGGGTGCTTCAAAGGCTGCCCGCAGCTAGTTTGCCCCACAGGTAAATTCAGGATATACTAATGAACAAATGCTTTGGAGAGCGCCTTCAGCCTATGAGTTTGCTGCTTCTTTACTGTTAAAACAAATCTTAAATTTAGTACGGTTTAATTTACATCTAAGGGCTGTTGATAGCCTGTTGGACTGTAGAGTCAGTGGCTGCCGTTTTGGGTTCGTTGAGAGAACTTGTGTGGATACTCTTGGGAGGGCACTGCTCGTTATTTTCTCTGATGGATTATCGAATAGCATCAAACCATGGCCGTCCATGTCCGAGCAATTCCTTGAAGAAGTAAGTCCGTAACATTCAGCCACGATACAGAAAACAATCAACCAGTTGTCAGGAGACTTCATCGATTCTTTGGTTTGGGATCTACCATCAGATTGTTGCAGGGATTTTATGAGCCCATCTATGTATGTCCATACAATCCCCTGCGGAAAACGTTATAGCATTCATCCATGACACATATATTTCAAGGGACCAGTTGTCAGTAGGCTGCATGGTTTCCTTGACTTGGGGTCGTCTCTCAGATTGTCACAGGGGTTGTCACAGTGGTTGTGTGAACTACAGGGAGTCTTTGTTCAATACAGTTTCCAACATCTCTGACCGTTGATTGATATTATTAATATATAGATAGAATAGAGAAAGCACATAATTGGATTAAACATTTATTTGTGAAATTCAATATGATGCAAATCTCAGTAATGTAATAACCCTGTTCAGAAGTAGCCTGGGGCTCAGAACTCAGCCCCAGGCCACGCAGACCTGAGAAGGTCTGCGCTGGGCTGTGTGACCAAGACACGCCCGGGCCTGAGTCTGTCGAGCGTGGCTGTGTGACCGAACGCTGCGCACAGGAATTTCAAGAGTCAAAGTCGACTGTAGAGTCAAATGTACCGCACCCAGGCCCTGGGTTGGATACACTCACTTGTTGTGCGCAGGTACCCAGACAGCATCCAGGCCGGAGGGAATTCGGTTTCAGGCCGATCTGAACCCTCATTCGCATTGAGATCTGGACGGCCGAGGGATACAGCATCCGGGGTCCAGACCCCGCGTCAACACTACATAAGAGTTGACTTCCTGGCTTTGACATGCATTCTGTCTTGCGTTGATGCTGACTTCACGCGTTGACTTCAACGCTGGCTCGACGCTGCAACGCTGGCTCGACGCTGCTGGCATTGTGACTTGGCGAGGCGCTGCTAGTCCGGCATGGTGGCCGGCATGTTCCTGTCTTCTTGGCATGCTGACGTGGCAGCTGCCATGCGCCTTCGCTGATGTGGCTGCTGCCACGTGTTCTATTGAGGGGACTACGTAATCGGCATTGCTGTTCTGTTCGTCGTCACTTCAGGAGGAGATCAGGACTGTGGAGAGTTCGAGGATACGTACCTGGTGGTCTTCATGTCGACATTGCTCCAGATGCGGATGTGGGACTGATTGGACGTGCCACGTGGCACATTGAGGATACTCGGATACTCGTTCAGACTATTGATTGTTGAGGTGGCAGTAGAGGAGGGAGCCCAAAGCAGGAGTGAGCATTTTACTTCCTCTCCTTTGTCTCTTCTCCCTCCTCTCTCTTCGTCTGTGTATGATATCTCACCTCACTCTGTCAGGTCACAATTTTTGACTAGTAATCATCAGCCGATGGACATTTATCTGGACTTGCATTGTTGACAACTGTCTCACGATCTGGGTTCATTACAGTTTGGTATCGGAGCTAATCTCCTGACGACGACATTTGTATATGGGTAGGCGCCAGGTGGCGCACAGGTAAGTAAGGTTGAGTAGGTGATGGCGTGGCAAGGGATACGCTGGGGATATTGACGTGGCACATACCTCTTTGGCAAGAAGACATTGCCGGGGATTGCTGACGAAGTACAGATTCACTGGCAAGAAGACCTGACCGGAGCAGTTGACGAAGTACAGGTTCTGCTGGCAAGAAGACATCCCTACCAGGCTGCTGACGTGGCAGTAGGGATCGCAACAAGGGATACCGCACGCCAGCCAGGATCGCGATAGTGACGTGGCATCGTGATCCCATGCTGACGTGGCACACATCGTGCTGCATCTGAAGACCCTGTTGATTGCTGATGTGGCACTCATTGTGCTGCTGACACGACAGGGTCTACTGCAGATGCTGACGTGGCCTGGAGGAAAGATTAATTGCTGACGTGGCACGAGCAGGTCATCACACTTGTCTGATGAGGTGGTGTCTGCCTGCTGACGTGGCATTGAACTCCTTGGCTGACGTAGCATAATCTGACTGGCTGGATCAGCGACGGTACCTCGCGTGACGCTTGAAAGAGGCACGTGGCGAGGATTGGACTACACACTTGCTGACGTGGCATCCCATTATTGACAAACTGGACCTAGTGCTGATGTGGCAACATTTGCTATGTTGGCACTCCAGGGGTGACATGTGGCAGGCAGGATGCTGCCAAGTAAGAGGTGCTTTCTTTAGACGACGGCGGTACAGCTGACTGGACAGCTTATACAGCTGTAGTGCCAGCTGTCAGAAGGATTGCGTGATCGCATTGACATCAAGAAGACACAGCAGACTGATGAAGGTTGCTGACAAACTGTTTGTGAGTGTTGTTGGCATACTCACATGTTGTTGCTGTTTGCGTACTTACTTGTGTGTTGTGTTGTTCACACGGGCCTGACGCGGTACCTGTACAGTCTTGCTTAGGACATCATCACACGAACAGACAAAAGAACAGCAATAGTCAGAAATAGAAATAATTGTATTTGATTATTTCCTTCAGTGATTAGAAATCTTGCTGTTGTAGATCAGTGCGGCCGTGGAATTTATTTTTGTTATTAAGTATTATTGTGCGGCAGACGCACATCACAATGTCTCATTTCTGGAATTGTCTGAAATTGTCGGTTCTCACTCTTCATCCCTTTCTTTTTCTTCCCAGTCTCACTCACTTGAGGGGACTCCTGACCCCCGAACCAGACAGCAAGTTGAAGAGCGAAAAAGAGTCTTGATTGGTCGTCTGGATCAACTGATATCTGAACTCCATGACGTTGGTGCTGAAGTAGAGGCACAGGTACGTGCCCAGTTTGATTTGAAAGCAATTCATGATGCTATCGAATCAGCTGAGACTGGCACCAACGTCTTGAAGGTTCAGAATGAACTCATCAAGTGTCGTCAGACACTTGATAAGATTATTGTGGAACAACTTGCAAAGATCTCGGAACAGAAGGAAGAGAAAGAAGTTGATGTGACTGAAGAAACCGTGGATGAGAACATCAGACAATTGGAAGAAGCATTTGAGAAAGAAAAGCAGAGGAAACAAGAAATGAGAAGGCGTAAAGAAAGAAATGTACAGCAAGAACAAAAAGTGGAAAAAGTTAGACAAACTGTCATTCACACTGAAGGGGAAAAACAGGCAATTTCTTTGGCCCAGCTTGTGAATTACCTTGCCCACTTGGAAATGAAAATAGATCAGTTTGGTGACCGGATGCAGTCCCAAATTGATGACGTGGCCTCAGAACTCCGGACAGTCACGAATTTGGTCAAGGGAAAGGAACAGGTCAAGGAAGAAAAGACTAAAAAGCCAGAGAAACTCATGGGAGACGCCATGAAGTCTCTCAAGGTAGAAACAGAGAAGACAGAAGATAAATCAGAAACAAAGAAAGGGGAGCCTTCGAGTCCGCCGTCTTCTCCACCAAGCTTCCCTCCTTCCTCTCCACCTACAAAGTCTCCTTCTCCGAAGTCACAGGACAAAGTAACCACAGAACCGGAGAAACCCAAGAAGAAGGAGAAAGTTAAGAAGAAATTGCCTTTCACGTTTTGTAATAAGAAAGACGAAAATCTGCTTTTGTGGATCACAAAGATTCAAACGTACTGTAGCACGGCCCTTGTCGAACCCGAATCCCAGGTTGCACTCTCTACCTCTTGCCTTGGTGGGGAAGCTAAGGAGTGGGTTTTGGCCGAAGCCAATGCCGCAGGGTTCGATGACATCGGGGAGTGGGCTGGAACCTTGAACCTCAAACAGTTCCTTGGGAAGATCAAGGAACGGTTTTTGGACAAAACGACGGCCGATAAGGCCTTTGACCAGCTCACCACGATTGGTCAAAGACATTGGACCTCTGTGGAATCGTTATCTCAGGAAGTTGATCGGTTGCTGCAGGTTCCAGGACTGAACCTACAAGACAACCAGGTCTTGTACATCTATTCCCGTGCTCTGCCCGAGCCCATTCGTGGACAACTCGTGGCAGAGTCCAAGTCTGGTAAATATAATTATAGGCAGTTTCGGGATTTGGCTCTTCAACGAGTGCAAATGACGTCGCAGGTTAAGAACTCTTATGCATCTGTTGTGAAATATGGTGGTGGTGCAGGAACGGGGAAGCTATATTGCATGCCCAGTCACGGCCGGGGGCAAAAACTTGGCTTCGGCCGCGCCCTGCGGCCGAATCGGCCACAGGTTCGGCCAAGGCCGAACAACCGAGTTTGTTGCAGGATTTTTTTTCCGTATATTTTAGGGCAAAAAAGAAATAAAAAAAAATGGGCGTGCAGGGCTAAAAAAACATGCACACCCATTTTATTTTATTTTTTCCTGATATTGCTGGTCGTCATAAAAACATACAGGACGGAAAAAAAAAAAAAAAAAAAAAAAAAGGTCCGTGGGCCATTTCGACCGTTTTTGTGGTGCACGACCGTATGGGCCGCACTGCATGTGTGGGGGGGCGGCTCCAGGCCTAGGCAACGGCAAGGCTGTTGCCGTTTCAGATAAATGCCGACATTTTTCTGAAACGGCAACAGTTGGTGTTGTTGCCGTTATGTTGTCGCTGTGTGGTCGTGCCGCCGCCGTTGTTGCTGGCCGAGAGAGAGAGAGAGAGAGAGCTTCTTCTTCTTCTTCTTCTTCTTCTTCTTTTTTTCTTTTTCTTCTTCGTCGTTGCGCGGCACGTGCGCGAGTGGCAGTAGCAGAGAGAGGGAGAGAGAGAGATAACTTCTTCTTCTTCTTCTTCTTCTTCTTCTTCTTCTTCTTCTTTTCTTCTTCTTCTTCGTCGTTGCGCGGCACATGCGCGCGTGGTAGTAGCAGAGAGAGAGAGAGAGAGAGAGAGAGAGTTTTCACTCACCACTCTGCGTGGCCGCACGTGCCACTGCCAAGCCGCAAACGCCGCCGCCGCCCGTCCACCGTTCAGCGCCGCGGCATCGTTTTTTGTCGCGCGCCCGCCATCGCCGCGCGACGCTTTAGTGCCCGGCCTTGACCAGGCTCGACCGAACTCGGCCAGAAGTGACCAGACTCGACCGGAGGCGGCCGAAAGTGACCGGAGGCGACCGGAGCGGCCGTGACCACTCCGTGGGGGTCGCCGTCGGGGAGGCTGCGGCGGGCCGTGTGGATGGGGTGCTCACCACTGTGCTAGAGACCCGCGCCCGCCTAGGGTGTCGGCAGGGGGGGGGACAATGACGGGTGGTGCGGGGCCCAGCGGTGAGGGGACCGGCGGTGCGAGGGGGACCGCGGGTGGGGGATTCATCTCGTAGTCTGATAGGGAGATAGCGAGGTTGAGGCGGGGCAACTCAATTTGGAACTTCGTCACAGCGGGGCAACTTGTCGGGAACCAGTCGAAGATGCATGGGGACCGGAAGTTGCGCTGCAACTTTTGCAACCATGTGTGGCAGGGGAATGCGACGAAGGCCGCTCGTCATGTCACGCAGCCCAAGTACTACAGGCTTGCGGGGATGAGAGTTATCGCGGACGTCTGGAAAAACACGGGGTACACGTTCGCGGACAAGACTGCTCAGCGGGTCCAGAGGTGGTTGGCAGACGAGGGGATGCGGGATACGAGAACGACCACGGGTGGGCAGCGGCCATGGGCAGACGAGGCTGAGAGGGAGGAGATGCAGGACTTCCTCGATGAGCAGGAGGGGGGCGAGGGCGGGGTCGGCTAGGCGGGGATGCGAGACGAGGCAGCTGGAGGCTGCGAGTCTGATCTACCTGGGGAGGAGGTAGTGATGACGTCGAGAGCGGATGGCCCGGCGGGACGCGGTGCGAGGGCGTAACGACCTGAGTTAGAGCGGGCTAGGAGGGAGAAGAGGAAAGTGTGGGAGGAGGACGTTGACGTGCGTGACACGGCGAGGGAGAAGAGGGCATGTCAGACGACGATTGACGAGATGTACGCGAAGGAGAAGTTGAGCGAGTTCACCGACGCGTGGCTGCAGTGGATCTACGCGAAGGGGTTGTCGTTCAACGCCTCTAGAGGGTCGGAGTTCCAGAGGGTGCGTCAGGCGGTGGAGAGAGTCCCCCGCAACGTTCGCTTTCAGTTTTCCTCCTACAGGGTTACAGCGGGCGCAGGAATCCCTTCGCAGAGGGGGAAGGTGGCGACGATGGTGAGCGAGGTGCGGTCGGCTTTCCGGCACACTGATGCCACCATCCTCTCCGACGGAAGGAAGTCGCGTAGCAGCAAGCCGCTCGTGAACTTCCTGGCCGGGGGCGCCAACGACGCCCTGCTATATGCGACCGTCGCACGTGACGGGTCAGTCCCTGACACGGCGGATGTCGTGTATCGCAGGTGGCGGGCCATCATCTTGTCCTTTCCTGCAAAGGACGTGATCGGCTTCTGCATGGATTCCACCAGTAACTATACGGAGGCCACTCGTAGATTCGCCACTGACCCCGACGCAGACATCAGAAGGATCACTTGGCTTCCCTACTCCACCCACGTCTGCAACTTGATGTTGTCAGACGTCGGGACGCGAGTGGGGTGGGTCAAGGAGACCATCATCCGTGCCCGAGCGTTAGTGCGATTTATTAAATCGCACGGCGCTAAGTTCGCCCTTTTTAGGAGGATGAGCCCTCGTGTCACGCTGGTTGAGCCCGTTGAGATCCGGTTTGCATCGGTTTTCCTGATGCTGATGTGTCTCCTAGGCACAGTGGGTTCAGCAGCAGATCCGCGACGACGAGTTCTGGCGAAGCGTTGACTGTGCCATCCACGTTATGTCGCCCATCAACCAGCGCTTGAGGAGGATGGATAGAGGGGGGATGATGATGTCCATCGTTTATGAGTGGAGTCGGCATCTTCTCGAGTTGATGAGGAGGGTGGATGTGCCGGTTGACATGGTCGAGCCGTGCGTGCGCGAGGTTGTCGTCCGCAACCATGCCCGCACATGCCGCGGCACACCTCCTCAACCCTCGCCGCCGGTCCCTCCAATATTATGAGTCGTTGCAGACGACCAGTGACGACGTCCGTGCGGTCGAGGAGTGCGACAGATTTCTGCTCGCACAGACTGACGACGATCCGGTCAGCAGACTGTACAGGACAGTCTGCGATCAAATCAGGCATTTCCACTCGGGCGGGGAGATTGGGGAGATCGGCAGCTGTCCGATGCCGAGGCCGACGACTATCGGGCGGACCGCGAGACTGAGCGTTGTGCCCAGTGGTGGTTTGATCCCGGACGTCGTCACCCTAAGTTGCGCACCATCGCCATCCGTGTGATGCACTTGTGGACGTCCGCCTCTCCTGTGGAGAGGAACTGGGCGCAGCACGAGCGCATCAACTCGGCGAGGCGCCACAAGCTTGGCTTTGCGAAGCTTGCATAGCTGGTTGAGATTGCCACCAATCTCAAACTGGCCGGGTGCGCACAACAGGGTAGTGGCTACGTGTTGCCCTGGGTTATGGGGACCGGTCAGGAGGAGACCGCGGGAGGGCAGGAGGACGACGAGGGGGATGTGGACCCTGAGGTGTAGGGAGCGCGACCTGTTGGCAGTTTCAACGAGTAGGACATCGAGCACCAGGTCGTCGCTTTCCATGCTTGTCGACCGTCTAGAGCCGACCCGGTTCAGGACGTGTTCGGCAAGAGGGCGGCGGAGCTACGGCCGTGGCCGGAGCAGACTCCGGACGCTGATGCGGACGACGACACGTCGGACGACCAGTGGACGGACGATGATGACGCTTCCGTCAGCGGCGACGCGATGACGGAGCGGGCGTATTTCACTTACGGCGGAGGACCTGACGGCATGGCTCCACACACATTCGTCATCATTAACGATGTGCTGTCCGGTGGTCAGGTAAGTGGCACCGGCAGAGCCGGCGATCGCGGGCGACGACGACCGCGTGCGGACGAGCACGTGGAGCAGGAGCCACTCCGAGGCCTTCGCAGATGGGCAGACGTTGGGAGGTTAGGAGCGACAGCGAGCTGGAGGGGGAGGAGGAGGAGGAGGAGGTGCCCCTTCGGGATCGTCGGTTCTCTCCCTCTCATCATCGGAGTACGGGACCGCCCAAGCCTACCAGGCCGAGGACGAGGTCGGCATCGGCAGCGGAGAGACAACGGACACCAGCGACCGAGCACCGTGAGGGGGCTGGGCTTGCGGACATTCCAGAGTTGGAGAGGACTCCATCCTGCGCCGGTGTCCGCCACCGCTTGCCGTCCGAGCTGCGTACCGACGACTTCTACGTCGTCGGCTCTGGCGGGGGCTTGGGGGATTTCAGTGCCCCGAGACAGGGGGGTGCCTCGCTGTTGGACGTGTGTATCGACGATTCAGATGTGCGGGACCATGTAGAGAGCGAGGAGGAGCGGGATGCCTGGGTGGACAGAGAGGAGGAGGAGCGGTTGGGGACATTGTCGGGATGGGAGGGTCGTTTCGCGTATATGGAGGAGCAACGCCGACTGAGGGAGTTGGAGACAGGGGGGGTGGCGGCGGTGACGGCGGCGACGTGGGTTTTGGTGGGGAGGCTGATGCGGGGGCGGCCCGACAGGGTGTCCCCACGGGTGTTGAGGGAGATGGTGTCGCTGTGGGTGGTGG